TCTATCTATCTATCTATCTATCTATCTATCTATTCTTTTGCACTGTTCCCCCTCCTTTTTTAACTTGCCTTATACGTCTTCACACAGGCAACTACCATGGATATCAGTTCAGAAATCAACTTAACTTCAGCCATATTTTGTGGCCCTAAAATAGAATTCATGATTTCCTATCCAAAATCCCAGAATGAGTCCTGAGTATAGTTTGGTTCCTTTAACTTCCGAGTCTGATGTCATTACCTAATCTTCTCCATCATCTAACTAGATCTCGCCTGTCGGAGCTTTAACGAGATTGTAACAACGCATTACGGAAAGAGAGAGAGAGAGAGAGAGAGAGAGAGAGAGAGAGAGAGAGAGAGAGAGAGAGAAAGAGAGAGAGAGAGAGAGAACGGCGGGGTTGGGCTCGCAACATAATGGTTCCGTCCAACTCCGAAGAGATAAGGCATGTGGCCACAGAGTAAAGAAGCAGAACAGATGGAGCAATGTCAGTACAAAGGCCCAGCACTCACTAGCTGTTATAAACTCGCACAAAAAAGTCAAGGAACAAAAATTCAAAGAAAGATAAATGAAGAACAGTTTAACCAAATTTATTCATTTTTTCCAAAAAGTTGCTTTCGACTCTTTAGATTAAGTGAGTACAATTTCAGATTTCAACAAAACGAGAAGTTCATGTAAAATAAGTTTAAGTCACACTGGTCGAATTTCAAAAGTCTGAACAGCCATAGTTCTTCATGAACATGGTCAATAGTGGGTGTAGCCACCCCGTTTGATCAAACACTCGGCACAGCGTCGACATATGGACAGGACATGCCTTCGGAAGACTTGTTGCAGTAGGTTCTGCCCCTCCTGGACGAGGTAGCCAAGAGTTGCTTAAGGTTTTGTGCAGAAGGGTGGTTGTCTCTTATCCACCGGTCAGTGGGATCCCAACTGTTCTTTATTTGGGTTCAAGTCCATGCGGGTGACAGCTCGCTGCTACAGGAAGTCCCCAACGATGCGTGCACGATGTGGCGTGGCGTTGTCGTCCGGCAGTACAGCCTGGGGTCCAATCTGTTGCAGGAGAGAAACAGCAAGGGGACGCAGGATTTCCTTCCTGTACCTTGCCGCGGTCAAATTTCCCTGTATATGGTACAGGGGGTCTTGGGGTGAGCTGAGAAGCCTCCCCACACCAGAACGGGCCCTCCACCATAGGGCACCACCTGCTGGATGCACTCAGGGTGGAACAGCTCTCCTCGGCGCCTCCAGACGTGGGATCCCCTGTCTGGGTGCAGCAGGTTGAATCTGGATTCGTCCAAGAAGACTACCTGGTCTCACTGACATTGTGTCCACTGTGAATGGTGAGCAGACCACGCCCGACCAGCTGCTGTGTGGGGCAGCGTGTGCCTTGGGTGCCTGGCAGGGACACGAGAAGCGAACTTGGCTCCGCGGATACAGTTCCTTACCGTCTCCTCGCTCTCGTGGACATTGGCTGTCACCCGTAGTTGGTCCCTGGTGCTGTTTGCAGTAGTGGTTCGTGACGTCACGGCCTGTTTGACGATGAACCGGTCGATGCTGTCGTTGGTCAAACATGACACCCTGGTTGAGGCCTGTCCTGGA